AAAAAAAAGGAATTCCCAAAGCTAACAATTTGCTCAAATAGGGTTTTCAATAAATCTGTAGTAACATTTATTCCTGCATTTCACACTCAATAATATACTGTAGTTAAAATATCTTTTGGTTGGTACTGCTGGAAACTGTGGGTTTTGCATGATGAGGAGTGATGAACCAATCAAGAGAAGCTGTCACACTGATTCCACTGTTTCCAATGAAGAAACAGTCAAGAGAGCCCAGCCCCACTCCGCTGAATGTTCCGTTTACGATCAGAATCCCTGGAGGACAACACTGTGCCGTATCCCAGGCCTTGCAGAGGGAGGCATGGCCCCTAAGGATGAAACGGAGCCTCTGGAGAGTGAGCAGTCTGGGGCAGGGTGTGCCAGAGTTCACCATGTGCAATAAACAACGCCCACAATCCACTCTCCCCTCTCTCTACCTTTTGAAGAACGTGCCCAGGTAGACCTCCCAGGAGCCAACCAGTCAGTATGTGAACGAGAAAGAAAGGCTCTGATTGGCGCAGACACCTGCATGGCTGGGTATGGAATCCCACTGGATGAAGCAAAACGTCCAGACTCCGTGCCACAGCCTGGTTCCTGACTCTCTCTCTGACTGCATCGCACACGCTGTTGGGTTATTCAGGGTGCTCCAGCTCCCCAGCCCCCTCATTCCCACCTCAGGATGTTTGCACAGACGGCTCCTCTGCTCAGAGTGCCCTCGGCTGAGTGTTCGCACAGCCTTGCACGCATCACTAACCCCCTGAGACCTTCTTCCCTTCCCTCGCTGCTCCCTCCAGCACTCTCCTGCTGGTACCTTCAGAGCCTATCACCACTTCAGTCTGTGTGTGTGTCACAGGACTCCCTCGTGACAGGTGCATGCTGTGAAAGCAGGAATCCTGTCTGTCTTACTTTCTACCTATGTCCATTGGCCTGGCATAGTGCCTGGCATGTAGCAGGCATGCAAGTATTTAAGTGGATAAATAAATCAGTATTTTTTTTTTTTTGGTAAATGATAAGTTGATAGTCTTTTAATAAACATACTCTGATGTCTTATCAAACTTTTTAGCATAGAACAGTAGCCATTTTCCTAAAAAATGGAAAGGAGTGAAATACAGTTTACCTCAGCCTACACATCGCTGATTTCTCTCAATATTCAATATTTCCTTCTTCTTTAGAACCAGAATACTGAATTTTAGCTTTCATAAAATTCTGTCAGTTAAATATCATTCTTTGATGAAGACTACTACTCCTTGCCTTTCATTCCTTCCTATTATCTGGATGTGGCTCTAATGACTGGTGCTAGAGCAGCCTTTTTGGAACATGAGGTTATGAACTAAGGATGGGAAAACGGCGAGAGAGGAGCTGGTCACTGATGAGCCACTAACCTGGTCCTAGGTTATTTATGTGGGTAAGAAATAAACTCTTATCTTGTGTAAGCCACTGAAATTTGAGGTTTAAAAAAATTATATGCAATTGACTTTAATTGTAATGGGGATGTGCTGATTTGTAGGAAAGGTCTGAATCTGACATATAACTCAACCTTTGACAACATGATGGGGAGAAGGGTAAAAATAAGGGGCTGTCAAGACCACCAAGTCTTTCCTTAAAAGTGTTTATTTCCCTAACCAATGTAAGACAGGAAATCAAGAAAGCGCAGAGGATTTACGTCCCTTCTCTGTTATCCTCTGGGTTGCTGTCTGGGATACAGAGTGAGACTTGAGTAAATTTGGTCCCAAAGAGCAGCCTCAGTCTACATTAGTGGTCTTTGTCTTAAAGCCTCGTGACAAAATACTTATTGGCCCAAGGCAAACTGAGTGATGTGGATCATTTTAGTGATTTTTGTAAAGCTAAATTTACTCAATTAAAAAAAAAAAACATTCTTTATTCTTAAATTAAGTCTTACTTTTTGAGCTAAAAATACATTTGCTTTTATAATTTATTATAGTACCTGTCAACGTTTTAAAAGTCCCGTTTTAACAAAAGTTTAAAATTGGCACACCTGTGTCATATCCCCAAGTCAACCAATTTAACTGCTCATCAAAAGCAACCCAAAGTACAGATATTTGGAAAATAATAGTAGCAGACTGAAGTTTAGATAATGATAATAGTAGCAGATTGCATTTATTATTTTCAGATATTATTTTCACTTTACTCTTCCACGATGTAAAAGTATACCTTGTGAGGCATAAGAATCATTATCCTCACTTCTGGACGAAGAAACTGAAGGTTAAAGTGTTTTTAAATACAGGTTTTCTTCTCGTTAGTTCTGTGCTCCAAAGAGTGTGAACATGACGATTTCCTGGGTCTACTGACTTAGACACTTAAGTCACAGAAGAGACCATATGATCGCTTTGTTTTTTTTAGAGATGACAACGGCAGAGTCTTCTTACCCCAGGGTGACTAAAGTTTTGGTGTCCCATAGATTTCCCATAGTTTGGGCTCTCCCAGTCAAGTTTTGGGTCTCCCATCAATTTTTATCCTAGGAGTGCTATCTGGGTCTCATTCTTACTACAACAGTTAAGGTCTTATAGAGCCTTTAATGTCTATTCATATTAATCCCTAGTGATTAAAAAATAATAGAAATTCCTTCAACAAATATTTACTGAGTGCTTACCAGGTGCCAGGCACAGCAAATGGAGCAGTGAGCAAAACAGACAAAAACGTGTCTTCACAGAAATCTGATTTCAGTGGGAGGTTCAGAAAATAAACACTAAGAATTAAACTGTCAAATACAATTACATGGTGGTAACTGCTTTGGAGAAAAGCAAGCAAGGAAGCAGAGTGTAAGGGGGCTGCAATCTGAAATCGGATGGGTCGGGAGGCTTACCGAGAGGGCAAGAGGTGAACAAAGACTAGAGCAGTGAGCCTGGTGGGGATCTGGGGGAAAACGCTCCAACTGGCGGGAATGGCCAGTGCAGAGCCCCTGCGTCCATTGTGTGCTCGGCAAGGAAGCCAGTGTGTCTGGAGTAGCATCGGCAAAGGAGAGAGGTATAGCTCCTGAGGTTAGGGAGGAAACTGGAAGAAGAGAGAAGGGATTGTGTGAGGCCTTGTAAACCATCGCAAAGGAAGATATGAAGATGCTGGAGACATCTAGGCGACAGGATACGATTTAGGTTTAAGAGCAGCAATACGGCTACTGTATTGAGAAAGATTATAGAGACAAAGGTGGAAGCAGGAAAACCAGTTAGGAGGGAACTGGAATAATCCAGGCAAAAGATGGTGGTGGCTGGATCCTGGGGGTAGTGAGTAGGTGGCGTGGCAGGAAGTAGCTGGATTCCAGATGTGTTCCGGAGAAGGCTGACAGGGTCTGCCGATGGCATAATGGGGAGGCACGAAAGAGAACATTCGCAGGAGGAGTGGGTTTTGCAGAGGGAGAAGGTCAGGGGTTCAGTTTTACACCTATTAAGTTTGAAGCGATGATCGGATTGCGGTCGTCAGGCAGACAGCTGGATATGCCAGCCTAGCGTTCAGGGAAGAAACCCAAGCTGAGGGTAAATGCGGTAATCTTCGACATAGTGAGATATTTAAAGCCATGAGATTAGATGCGATCAAGGGAGTGTGTGTAAATCGAAACTCTCTGAGGATTGAGTCCTAGGGCACTCTGATGTTTGATGGTCAGCGAGATGCGGAGCGTCCCTCCAAAGTGGCTGGGAAAAAGCAAACAACACAGAGTGGAAAAGCCTAGAGAATGAGCTCTGTGGCAGGCCAAGCGCAGGACGTGTTCTGGAAGAGTGGAAGTGATTAGTTCTATCAAAAGCTGCTGATACCTGCTTTGCTATTTCTCCCTAGTGCTTATCACTGTCTAACATCGTATATCATGAAGGTGCTGGAAGAGAGGAGAGGCAAGGCGGCATGGCGAGCTTGTGCATGATGACTGAGCTAAATCCCAGTCCTCTAGACACAAAAGTCGACCGACAGCTTCCAATACTGAGGAGAAAATGCAGAATTAACAAGCTATTTGGACATAGGAGAAATAGCTGAAAGCAAGCTGGGAATGGGACTCATGGATAGAGAGTAGTAGCGTAGATGACTACTGTTTTTCTTTAAGTCATAACTTTTAAAACTGTATCTCTATATAATTTTGATAAAAAATGAAAAACAATCAGTCAGAAAAAAAAATGCATGAGTTAGATGCCTAGTTCCCAGCCTCGGAGCTATAAAATTATGGCCGGAGGGCAGCAACTCATCACGTATTATTTATATACTGAGTAGGTTAGATCTTGTACATTATGTGTCCTGTAGCTTTTCAACATACCACTGCTTTCACCACTACAAATTAAAGGCATTCCTAAAATTGTAATATTTAATCACTGAAGATTTTATCATTCAATTGATACTAAAAGTACAACCACTGTTGTGATCATCCATATAATTTTTTAACTTTAAAAACAGCTCCTAACTCAAAGTTTAGAAACTTTTATAAGAATTAAGTTATAATTGCACTGAGTTATTAAATTTATGAGAATGCCTTTGTAATAAACTCTTAGAAGGCAGAGACGATCCTTTCTACACGGATATAGCTTTTTTGCACGTTCCCCTTTCCAAACAATTTAGAGTTCCTTGAAAAAAGATAATGCGCTGTGTACCTAGAACAGTTACCAACACAGGTGACAAAAAATAATATGTAACATTTCCTAAGTGCTTTGCCTGTGCTAGACACTACTTTCAGCACTCTACACGTATTTTTACTTAATTACTATTGAAGAACACAACATGGTTTCTGAAGTTGATGACAGAAGAGGAAACTGAGGCACAGAGGTTAAGTAATTCTCAAGGACACATAAAAATGGCAAAACTAGGATTAGAAGCCAGGCAATCTCTCTCCAGAGCCTTAGCTATAAATGTCTATGTAGACTATTAATGTTTGTCGACAAAAAACAATGATATAATAAACCCAGTGGCAATTAATCTTAACTAGTGATATGAAACAAAACCATCATTTGGGTTATGGATGATCTGATGACTTCTTCAGATGTATATTTGAAAGGCTGGTTATTTGATAGTCTCACCTTTTTCTTTTCGTCCTGGGTCATCTGTTTTCCTATTTGTTTCTGGAAAGCAAAGACAAAACAAAATAAGTACTGTGAAAGTCACCATTCAGTATCTCAAAATATAGGACTATATTTAATGAATTCAAATCAATAGGATTTAATATTTCTGGGCAAACGATTAAATTTTTCTAAATTCTGAGTTCTTTGCATACAAACTTTGTTTAAAAATATTAAGATTAGACCCATTTGAATTACTTGTAAAAGTCACTGAGCAGTGACGAGGTTTCAGGTGCCAGGCTACGGGTTTCTCCTCTGTCAGAGTGGATATGGGTGATCTTTACCACCACAAGCACTGTATGAGAATGAAGACAAACTGGGGTAGGTAGAAGCCCTCATCAAAGGGGGGATGAGGGAGGTAGATACAGGTAAAGGGTGTCAAACATGGTGACGACAGTGAACATACAAGGCAATATACAGATGATGTATTATTGAATTGTACACTTGAAACTTATATAATTTTATTAACCAATGTCACTCCAATACATTTTTTAAAAAGCTTGTTCAATATTTTTTATTGTCTCCTAAAAACATAAGACTATAATAGGTACCACGTGCTTTAAAGGAATGTGTCACATGACAGAGAACACTAGTCTTGTTCCTCTAAGGACTTCACACACACATAGGTAAGCCGCTGGCAGGTGCCTGACCTGAGCCCGAGAGCCCACCTCTGTCAGCTTTTCAACAAGGGAATCAATCACACTTAGTGTCTCGCCCACAAACGGGGTTACCAAGGACAGTGAAACCTACCCAGAACCTGCACTGGCCAAAGAACAACCATCTCACAGGGAAGACACCAGCACGTGACCTGACCTTGTGTTAGTAAACAAGCTGCTACATTCATTTATAACCTCACATCTGGCCCACTGTTTAATACAGGTTAGCATCTAGTGAATTTTCAAGGTAGACCAGCTGATTGTAGGCGCAGGAGGTACTTATCGGGTCTTTGGGTATTTCTAGGAACATGTGTGCATGCATATGTTGGCGTAGGGATGGAGCAGTTTGGGAGACTGATGAAAAATCACAGACTCTGGCCTTTCCCCACAGTAGACAGGAGAGGATGTGGGTGCCGTCCGGGGTGGGAGCACAGGCGCAATCACGGAGCACTTGACTTTTTGGTCCCTAGTGTCCTATATTGATTCCTATAAAACATTTCATTTGGGGGACGTGAGAAGTAAATCTGAGGCAGGCTTCTGATGCAAGGAAGGACTTTTTTCAGGTCAAGCATTGTTCTCCCTTGAAGCCCTAGGTGAGAGGAAGGGGACTAACTTTGAAAGCTACAGTGTGTCAGGCTTAGTACTAAGCATATCGCATATACCTCTTGTCCCTGACACCCGATAGGGAAAGGTCTTATCTCTCTCTGTGCAAAGGAGGAAGCTGAGAAAGTAGAATGCCCAAAGTTACAAAGGTCAGCCGTTGACTTCATTTCAAAGCATATGATCTTTCCACTGTGCCGTTTTTTACCTTTCTAGAAAAAGAAAAAATGCCTAAGGAGTGTCAGGTCTTGACTTATGCAGAGTATGTTTTATAAATTTGACTGCCATAACACTTTCTGGCCAGTGCTACAGAAGGCACCTAGGATATTTAAAAACAAAAACAAAAACACTTTGATCTTATTAACTATAACCTCATCATTAAGTTAGGCAGTGCATCCATCATTCAATAGGATGCACTCTCACTGGCATCAGGGATACAGGACTGAAGAAAAGAATCAAAAATCTCAAGGAGCTGTTTTTCTAGGGGTGTCAGCAACACCTGCACAACCCTCAGTAACGCATTCCCTGGTGCCAGGTGCTCACTCCAGAGTACCGTGAATGGCCTCGGGCCGGTAGGCGGTTCGGCCTTGCCCTGTTTCCTGGTCTGTGAGCAGGGATGACATCCATCTGCTGGGAATCGCAACTACCTCACACACACGAAGCTCTTAGCAGAGTAAGTGCAGTTGGTGAAAGTGAGTTTGCTCACCCTTAGTTTCAAGTCTTATTCTAATTGTTTCTTTTAGGCATGGTGGAGAAAACAACACTTTCTAGAACTCGAGAAGCTCAAACCAGGATGACTACCCTCCCAAGATGATGGTCAGAGGATCACAAGGTACAGGGAAACGAGGACTGAACAAAACCTGCAAAGGATGGACACCGGGGCTATTTCACTGTAATCCTGCCCCCAGAAATGGAGCATAATAGTAAATTTTAAACAAAACACCAGAAACAGGTTAGGGAAGGGGCTAAAGGTATTCCTTGGTGATTTTAGTCATCAAAATGCTTATAGTATTCTAAAAGACCAGTAAGTCCAAAATGAACCAATTTTATTATGTAATGAAATAAAAAATATACTTCAGAATAATGACAATATAGAGAAGAATTCTGCATTTTATTGCACTCAAATAACATTAAACAGAAAGACATTTACATTATTTTTAGAAAATCCACTGATGTTGCCCAGCATGGCATATATTTGTAAAGGCTCATTAATTCAGATATTTGGAATTAAAAAGTATTTGAAGTTGACCACAGCATAATGAATCCTCTATTTCTAGAGATGATTATATACAAAAATCCAGTAGAATTTATTTTATTCATTTATCTTTTCTATGTCACTCCTAAGTTTCCCTAAAAAAAAAAAAAATATATGGCTTTATAAAAAGTAGTGTTCTATGATTCACAATATGAAGAGCTTTATTAGAATTTATATTACCCATATCACAGCTTTAGAAAATTATTGCTTTTCTTATTATTTGAGGTTTCACTACACGTTGGATCAGCATGCATAACTTACTATATTATAACATTACATTATGATCTATAATGATGAAAATATAAAATCTTTTTTGATTTTAACCCTAAAAGCAGGAAAAACATTACCTTATCTTCAATGTTAACATAATCAACAGCTACCCCTGACTAGTAAATAAAACCACTTGTTATGGCTTTTTTATGTAGCTCATGGTCCTTTCAAAAGGATGTTATAGCTACCTTCTTTGCTAACGAATGAAAATTTTCGTCACAGCAACTATTCCTGAGCCACAAATGAACCACATTAAAAATAGAAGAAACGTTTCAGAGTAGCAGGAAAAGGCTCGTGCGTGTGGAAACGCAGCAGGCGTGTGGCTCCGTGAGCGCTCTCCACACGCCCCAAAGCAAGCCTGCGAGGGGCGTGGGTGACCTTACTGGTGAGAGCACCTGCCGTCCTTGGTGCTGGGAGAGCATCACTTATTTACCCAAAGGCAGAGCAATCTTTAAGTTATGCACCAGTAATTTATATTGATTTTCTAAAATTTAAACGAATACTAAATGGACGACAGCTATTATGTCATTAATCCAAGTTGCCGAAAAGCGTTTTTGTGTGATATAGCAGGCCATGTCTTTTCTCTTTGCCCTAATGAGGAATTTCAGTTTCCCCTCGTCATTCTGAAAAATAAATTAACCACGATAATTTAAAACTTTTGCTGAAATATTATTTTCTCTATTTAACGAGCTAAAAGCTAAAGGAATCTGAAATTCTGAATTCTACCTTGAATACTCAAAGTTAATAAAGACTTTTTTTTAAGGATATCAGTGCAGATATATACAACTCAAATCTTCACAGATAATGATGACCTCTACTAGTGTTTTCAAGGGTGCTAACGCAAGGTACCTCTAACAGTGTTTAAATCCCGTTTAACGCAGTTTGCACAAATCAGTTGAACACAGTGTTAATTCCTAATAATATATATTAAAACTCTGTCAAGACAACTGCCGCTACATCATCAATATAATTATTAACTGCTGCCTGGAAAACACACATCAATGTAGGTAGGAGTAAAAGCCGAGTCACACACACAAAAGAAAATGCAATGGATTCACTAACGCTATCAAGAAAGGACATGCAGGAATGTAACATTACATGTAGTTTTTGTTTCTAAAAAAAAATACACTAAAATGCCAGTGGACTATGATTCATTCAAAACATCTTTAGTGTTCATTCCCAAAGATCTTGATCTGCTCAGTAATTACTTCACAAGATCTATCACAGCCATCTTTTGGAGCGTATGGTTAGGCTGGTCCTCCTGTGGAAGTGGGGGCAGTCTTTCTGAAGCTTTAAGTATCTGCAAAAATAAGGGGAAATCTAAATTAAAGGACCAACTAGACATAGACTGTGAAACTGCTTCATTTTCATTGACTTTTTAAAAACCCACCAACAGAAGTGAATGCTTTTTTGCTTTTGTGTTGCTGTTTTTAAGGGCAACTTGATAACAGAACGGTTAACTGCCTAGAGAAGTTCCTGGGGTGACCTGCAAAGCTGTTGATGAAAACTGAGGTTCTTTAGGGCATCTGAGAATTACAACTGAATTTAAGTATTTCACTCTTTTGAGAAATATAAGCATTAATTTTTTTCTCCCATCAATCTTTTCACTGTACTAAAAAGGCACATAATTGAGAAAAAAAAATCTAGTACGGTATTTGAAAAACAAATATAGGAAGGATTTTCAAGGAGCAACTGGATACTGTAAGTTGCGGTTAAAATATATTACTTTAATAATTTTATACCAATTTTAATGTAATTGACAATATAAAGTCAATAAAAAAAATTAAGGATTTTGAAAGAAAATTCATTCCTGTCAAACTTTCCGCAAATACTTTCTCATTCCAAACTTTAGTATCTGATTTATTTTTCTCTCATAGCACTGGATCTATTACAATTAGAGAAAATGATCTGGTACAGATAAAGACTCATCCAATTTTTCCTTTTTGCCCTCCTTCCTTCCTTCCTTCCTTCCTTTTTTCCTTCCTTCCTTCTTTCCTTCCTTCCTTCATCTATCTATCCATCCATCCATCCATCCATCCATCCATCCATCCATTTACATGTGTTATCTGCGTTTCTATGTGTAACCAGAAATTTTTGTCTAAGCAGAATTATTTGGTGCTAAGGTGAAGAAACTAGAAATTATATGCATACTTTTATACATCTAATGAAATAAGTGTTTATGTCCACGAAAAAGACATGTACAAGAACAGCCACAGCAGCTT